CCTTCCCTCACCCTCCCTAACTCCCTCCCTCCTCTTTCTCCTCCCTCTCTGTCTCTCTCCCTTCTCCCCCCTTCCTCTCTCTCACCCTCACCCTCTCCCTCCCTCCTTTCTCTCTCTCTCTCCCTCACCCCCTCGTCTTTCTCCTCCCTCCCCCTCCCTCCTCTCTCTCTCTCTCTCTATCTTGCTATCTCTCCCTCCCTCACCCTCCCTAATTCCCTCCCTCCTCTTTCTCCTCCCTCCCTCCTCTCTCTCTCTCTCTCTCTCTCTCTCTCTCTCTCTCTCTCTCTCTCTCTCTCTCTCTCCGGTCATTGCCTGTCACTCGTTAAACCGGTTCGGTGTCGGTGTGTGAACCATGTAAACGTCCCGCCGGTTCTTCTGGGATCAGCAGCAGCAGCGGCTCTGTGCGTCCGTTTTGCGTTGCGGCTCCGCCCGGTGTGCGGTGCGGTGCGGTGCGGTGCGGTGCCTCCCACATCTCACACTTTTTTTTTTTACCGGATTGTCGGACAGCGGCGGGAGAGGACCGGTGCGAGCCCGACGCAGGACAAAGAGAACCGGGGGGAAATCCCGGGAAAAGCACCGGAGTGGAATAGGAGAGGAGTGGAAATGGAGAGCCGCCTGCTGTCGCTCACCTTTGCTCTTTTCCTTCTCGGTAAGACACGTCTCTTGGCTTCGCTGTTGCTGGCTAATTAACTCCGCTCATTGGCAAACCAATGCCGAACTCCATTTTGAAATCTGCCAATTTAAGGTTTCCTCGCTTGTCGACGCACCTATGCGCCTCGTTAAACCGCAGCTAACGCATTTTCCACATCTTTCCGGCCCGCTACCCACTTCGGCGTGAATGTAATCCACGAAGCAGCTCTTATTTTATACGTATTTTAAAGTTTTGTAACTGCTAGCTGCCGCTGTCCGCTGTGGATTTCGACGGGACAAGTTCGCGAGTGCGGGCGGCGAACAGATCCAAAAAGTTGACATTTAGGTGAAGCAGAGGTGTCAGGTGGTGTTTTGGGTTAGGCCGAATTAAAGAACGAATCTAAACTATCGGAAATACATCATGAATTCTGTTCTTGGGGGTGAGAGCATGTGGTGACGAAGAGAGCATATAAAAACGCTCGGTTGCTCAATGGAGTTTGGCACTCGCTGTGAGGGAGAGTTGTGCTTATTTCTGCCCTAAATGAACTCTCGCCGTGTGGCTGATGAACTGATGGTCAACTTGAGGTTAATTACAGCGCAGGGAAGACACCAGGAGTGGAGCGCCTACTCTCTGACACAAATGGAGAAGCTGCTTTTTTAAGTTTGCTTTGTTCCTCCCATTAATGCCCTGATGAGCCCACAAGCTCCACTTAGAAAAACCTGATGAGATCCAAGAGGCCTGAACCTCAAGAAGCCAGCTCCACAGCAGAACCAGAGGTCTGGACCCTGCTGAGGCCGCGGCCATATGCTCCTCAGCGGAGGCCATGTGGGTTCTCCTGAGTGTGTCTTGGCTTAAATTAGTGCAGCGTAAGGTGACCGAGTGTGGATCCTGCTGCCAGCGTTTCTGCAGATAGTGTGACGCTGCACAAGAGGAAGTGGCTGAACTGTGCTGCATGAATAACCTGCTGGGTGACCCGAGCTGCTCCTGCAGACACGTCACACGGGAGGCCAGAACCACACGTTCTCACTTCTTTATTCTAGTTTTAAAAAACCCCAAAAGTGTCTCATGGAGGATCCAGAAAGTCCTCGGATCTGTTGGGTTTCCATGTGCACCGGTGTCGGATCAAGTTTTCTGTGTTTTTAAACCGCTGATTTGACTGTTTCATTTGTGTAGTTGGGATCTAATTTATTGGAACTAGTTTTCATTAATCATTAATTTAACGTGGTCGTGTGATGAGTTAGATTGAACACTTTGACATTTGCTCTCTTGAATGGAGCTACTTTCTGTTTCTTGTTTGCACTCGTTCGCTGCGGTTTGGATCAAAATTAATGACGTTTCATTGGTTTAGAGGAAGAAAATGGACGTTTTTCTTCCCCGTGGTTCGTTTATCGCTGCGATAGAAAGTCCTGCAAACACAACAACGCTCACAAGTTGATTTTCTGACACTGCCTGCAGTTCATCCGGGAAAGCCTGTCGCAGCCGAGCCACCGAAGAACTTTTAGTTTTTCACAGAATGGGATTCGTAAAAACGGTTTATTTTGGGCGATTTTTCTTGGATTTGTTTCGGTTTCTCGATCAAAGCTCACAGCAGCTCAATAAAGTCTCACATCTGACAGCTGTTTCAGGTTTTGCTCCCATAATTTGGTGTAATTTTGGTGTTTTTTTTTAAAGCCAGCGTGTCTTTCTAACCTCTCTGTAACACACTGTGGAAAATATGGTGTAAAGCTGTTGAATATAATGAAAGGTGGCTCCTCTTTTACTCATTAATTCAGATTATTCGTGGAGTTTTAGAGTCCGTGTGGATGCAGCTGCTCTTGGTGAACGTTTTGAACCATCGCAGCCAAAACTGAAAAAATAGTTTTCAATCTGAAATTTGAGGAAGAAGCAGAAGCAGATAAAAATACCAGTGACGCATTTTAAACTATTGTTAATATAAAATATATTTATTGTGCAAAAACTGAGGAAAAAACCTGCAGATGTTACCAATCGTGGAAAACAATAAATACAATTCTGTAGATTTTTTATTTTACAAGAATGGAATTTTTTTTTTTCCAACACTGGAGGAACTGTATCTGCTCTGCACAGCCTGCAGTTCAGCCGAAAAAGTCCATGAATTTTTCTGTCGTGCCCGTCGTGGCCAGCTGAGCCACTGATGGCTTCACGGTTGCGCTGAGAAACGCAGAATTTTTAGTTTTTGACAGAATCTTTTTAGAACAAAGGGTTTATTTTCTGCAAATTTCCAAATGACACATGTAGAATGAAGTGAGTATAACCAGAAATTTGAGTCATTTTCCAAAATGTTAGATTTTTTTAAATTATTTTTTTTTGCAGGTTGTGGCTCCGATGAATTAGTTTTAAAGATAACGGGTCTTCCAAACCCGTGAGAGGTTTAAGTGCAGTAGAAATAAAGCTCCTGTTGGTGTGAGACTGTGATCGTTCGCATTAACTGCATCTATCTGGTCCGTCTTGAAGCAACACGTCGACCAAACCGAAGCAGGTTTTCTGAGCCTCTTCCTTCCCTCCGACTTGTTACTTACGAGGCAGAAAAAGCCCAAACTCAGCTCTCGCACACACAACACCAGGCCATCTGCCAGAAACTGGAGTATTGATGGACTCCCAAGTATCGATGGGAGCTGTTTCTGAAGCGCTGATCCAGTCACAGGTTTAAAAACAGAACACGTTGGTCTTTTATCAGCTGCTGGTGAAGTCTTCTCACAGGGCCGAAATAAAACACAGTACAGCCGAACAAACGCACTGGATGTGGTTGTAAATCTGGTTTTCAGTGATTGAAACGCCTTTTAAATTAGTGACGGTGTGTTTAAGGCCGTGAACTGTTGATCAAAATGAGCCCAGTTACTGATTAATATCAAGGACAAGATCGTTTTAATTTCACTTTCCTGCCAACGTCCAGATCTCTGCATCAAAATAAGACTTTTTATTCTGCTTCTGGACAGACAATGCAATTTACAGATGCTCCCTGAACGCCTCACGTGCAGGTGAAGGTAGATGTTGGCCAAAGTCGTGGTTCATTGTTGGATTAATCCTCCGAACCTCCTTCCACTCATAGTGTCACAGTAGTATTAATTTTTATCTTTATTTTTATTGTATTTATTTTATTTTTATTTTATTTTTTTGTTAATATTAACATAATACAAAAAAACCCAACAAAAATGTGTTAAATTGTTCATATGAAATTTTTGTATTTTATTTTTTCCTGCTTGCTTTTTTACTTCTTATTATAACAATGTGAATTTCTCCATTGCGAGATAAATAAAGGCATATCTTATCTTTTTATTTCTCTATTTTGTGTATTCTTACATAATTGTTGATTTATTTTGTGCTGCTGTGATAAAACAGTTTCTCTTGTAGATCAATAGAGTCTCCGATGACTTTTTTTTTTTTTTTGGCGACTTTTATATTTTTTTGTGGCTTCACTGTTGCGTCCACGAGCGCAGAATTTTATTTTATTTTTTTTTACAGAATCTGCTGTGAGCAGGTGGTTTATGTTTGGCTGATTTTTAAAACCCAATTAGGTGGTTTTGATTAAATATATCATCATTTGCATGAGTTTCCCGACAGAGCGCCTCAGATGAGTGAACTGGTTCAGTAGACGTGGTCAGAAGCAAAGTGGCTCCAGATGTTTGACTGCTTTTGGTTTTACATCCTCTACAAACCAACCACTCATCATTTATAGACAGAAATAGTTTATTTGTTAAAACATTTTATTGATCCAGTAGGCTTTGTTTCCCCTCACGGCCTGCAGTTCATCCGAAAAGTTCCTGAATTCTTGCCACGTGTCCGTTGGTTGCAGTCGAGCCGCTGATGGCTCCTCGGTTTCACTGAGGAATGCAGAATTTTGTGTTTTTAGCAGAATCTTTTTAGTGCAAACTGTTAATTTTTTATTGATTTTCATGTAATTAAACATCACCATTATAAGCTCAGATTTGGATAATTGTCCAGATGGAACTGTACGACGCTGCTGCTTCATTCACAACCATCAGAACATGTTTTATTATTATTATTTTTCTCTCCACTTTTACTGTTTCTGGCTCTGGGAGACGGTGTAGTATTGCATGCCCTTTAGACCCGCCGGCTTCAGGAGGTTAATTGAGCAAACGTTTAACGAGGACGGTTGTAAACTTTCATTTCCTAAAGACTGAAGAGTGACGGCGGCGTCGAGCCACCGCGCTCCGTCCCAATGCTCTGTGGATCTCGTGCTGTACGTCTTCGCCCTGTCAGGCCTATTTTTAGCCGTGTCAGTGCTTTCTGAAGCCTCAGCAGTCACTCCGGTGGATGAAGCGATCCTCCACAGCCCGATGGTGTTGGAATCGGGGCGCAACAGTTCCTGTGAACCCGTCGTTTGTTCGGCCTGCAGAAGGTCAGAAAACGGCGGAAATGTTCACGACAGACGTCTCGTTTAGTCCACAACCCAGAGATGTTCAGTTTACCGTCACAGAGGAGGAAAGAAACCAGAAAATAGTCTCGTTTAGAAGCTGGAATCAGAGAGTTTTGATGGTTGAAGACATCAGAAGTGGTGACAGGAGACAACGAGTTCTAGAAACCGTGTGGATGGAGAGTTTCAGCAACTTCCTGGACCGATAGTCGACTGTGGCATCGATCAATAATTAAATAACTGCTAAAACAATGGACAGTGGATCATTTTCTTATGTGCTAATGTGGTCATTGTTGTAATCACTGACATGTAGCATTGACAACAGCAGCTCAGATCTGTTGGAAACTCGATTTTCAGAAGTCTTCAGAAATCATTGACCCCCAAACAAGTCTTGGTGTCCTTTGCTAACTCAGCTGCCTTCAGGTTGAGCCACCACCTGGACCTGAGTCACGTGAACTAAACCAACGTTATTCTATTAGCTGTTGGAGCTACATTTAGCCAACCTAGCGGCTTGCAGTAGCCATTAGCTGTCTGATAAGTCTTTGTCTTGGTGCCCGTTGCTAGCTCTGCATCCAGGATGCTCTCTGCTTGAGAAAAGGAACCGGCCTCGAACTGAGTGACGCTACGTTTAGCCACAAACTGAAGCAGCTCGCTAACATTAAACACAAAGCTGCTAGATAGAATATTTTAGCTCTGATGGAAACCATGAACCGCCTCGTCGTCATGGTGCCAGGATGCTCTGTGATCGCAAACGCAGAACAAATAGCCTGGTAGCTACAGGATGGAACGGTAACAGACTCCACCTGGTGGCGCAATCAGGTACTACAGCTAGTCTCCACATCTTCCGTCTTTATATTGTTTAATCAGTTAAATTATTCATAAATCCAAACAGTTAATCCTAAACAAACGCTGTGTGAACCTTGTTTTCATTAATCCCGATAGATCTTTGATCCTGACAGCAGCGTCTGTCTCTCGCGGACGTCCGGGTCGGAGTTTGAAGGCCAGCAGACCAACCACCTCCACATTTCTCCGTCGGCTCTGTTGGTACTCGCTGCTCTGAGCTGGAATGTCGGAGTCCAGCGCCCAGTCTGACAGCAGAGGCAACGAAAACAAGATGCTTTGATTTGATCCCAGCAAACCTTACAGCGGCGCTAATTAACGAAGCCAAACCAGGGAGTCGCTTTTAAATGTATAACTCTGCCTCTCTGGCTGCTGGGGGGCCTTTGAAATCCGCCGTCAGCGTTTGGTGTCGATGCCAAAGAAAGAGGACGGCGTGGGCGTGAGCGGGTGTCGAAATTACAGTTTAGCTTTCAGCACCGTCGTCATCAATAAAATCAATCGCTCAAGTCCCAGCAGGCCCGGTGTGTGTGTGTCGAAACAGGGCCGACGTCATCCTCCGGACTCCACGAATGCCGACGGTCCCTGAACACAACGCTGTCTGTTTCAAAACATGCACATAAGTCATGTCTCTGAGCCAAAGCGTCCGTCAGCCTGTTTAATCCTGTACGTTCTGTTTCTGTTGCTCCACACGCTGATGTAAGCGGGCTTTTTTCTGACTGAAACCGGAACCCAACACAGCCTCCGAACAAGGCCCTGACTGATGATTACTGTCTCTGGTTTGCAGGAGGCTGCTCGGCCCGCGTGGTGACGGTGTCTCCTGGGCCGCTAATCCGGGTCGAGGGTCAGCCGGTCTCCATCAGATGTGACGTCAATGAGTACGGGGGCCCTCGAGAGCAGGTAATCTGAACTTATTTACTTATTTTACAGAAATCGGAAGAGAAAAAATCCTGGAGTCAACATGCAGCTCAGCCCGGTGGAGGCGAAAAGTTCCTGAATTTTTGCGGCCCGACCGTTACTCGCAGCCGAGTCGCTAACGGCTTCCTGGCTGAGTCGAGGAACGCAGAATTTTTTGTTTTGTGCACATTTTTTTTCAGACAAACTGTTTATTTTTTAGTGATTTTTAAAAACAAGACACGTAGAATAAAATAGCAACGCATTCGTCGGGTCACAGATGAGTCGTTCAAAGAGCGTCGGAAAGTTGATAACCTGAATTTTTGTCGCCTGACTGTTAGTCGCAGCCGAGTCGTGAATGTCTTGTTTTTTGAAAGAATCCGATTCGTACACACGATCAGTTTTTTTGAAGCCGAGACGTGGAACAAATCGATTTTAAGCTCAGAGCCGGTTTGGATTTTCCACCTGAGCTTTACAACACGGGTGAGTAGTTCAAGGACTAATGAATAAATTCTCTGTTCTTCCAGCTTGTAGTTCTGATTAATGGTGTAGTTTTGGGTAGCTGTTTAAAGACAACAAACATTTGAAACCCAGCTGTGTTCTTCTCCAGCGTCCACGGCTTCAGTTTTTCCTCCAGAATGTGATTATTACAGATTATTTTTATAATTAGGTGTTCAGGTTTCAGAAAACATCAACCAACACCCGTGAAGGTAACCCACTCGTCTCTGCGTCGTGATCCGGCTTCCCTGCTATCAGAGGGCTGTTTAAGCGGCCCGGCCCGTTCTGGTATTCTGTTTTAAAGAGCGTGGAGGGAGCTCCAAATGGAACTTGAAATAGTCGCACCTCGAATCAGCCGCTTTTAAAAATACATCAAACGGATGCGCTGTGCATAGCAAGCAGCAGCAGGACGGCGGCTCTCTGAGGCGGCGCTTCAGCCTGAAAGTGGAGCTGGTGGGCTGTGAGCTGTGGACAGATGTTGGCTTTAACAGCTGTTCTCAGGTGATTGAAATGTCGCTCTCTGTCCCGCAGGACTTCGAGTGGGAGATGTCGAGGGACGCCAACGGGGCCAAGATAAAGATCATCTCCACCTTCGACACCAGCTACTCCCACCAGTCGGTCAGCAAGCGCGTGGCGTCCGGCGACATCTCGGTGGTCCGGCTCAAGGACAACGAGGCGGAGCTGAAAATCGCCGAGGTGAAGGCGCTGGACGCCGGCTTCTACTGGTGCCAGACGCCGAGCACCGACTCGGTCATCAGCGGCAACTACGAGGCTCAAGTCCAGCTCACCGGTATGAAACTAGATTTGTCGCTACGTTCATCACTGTTGGCTCGTTTTTCTCTGCAGTCTGGAATCCTGCAGCTCAGAAATGTCTTCTGTGCATCACATGAGGCCATAAATCATTAAAAACAGAAAGAAATGTCGAATTTCTTTTTATTTATTCATTCAAAAATATGAGACAAACATTCCTCCAAGTGCCAGCGCTGGAAAACTTAAGTCGTAGCTCTGCATCTTGCACATGTTTCACTACGTACGTCTTCAATCTGCCTCCCTGCTCTCTGCTCTGTGGAGACACTGCCTGCAGCTCAGCCCGGCGGAGGCGAACAGTTCCTGAATTTTTGCCACCTGACTGTTTGTCGCAGCCGATTCGCAAATGGCTTCACGGTTGAGTCAGGGAGGGCAGAATTTTTTGTTTTTTGAAAAGGTTTGGTCGGACAAAGTGTTTATTTTTTAGTGAATTTTTAAACGAGACACGTAGAATAAAATATCAGCGCTTTTATCGGATGGCAGATGAGTGGTTCAAAGAGCGTTGGAAAGTTAAAGATCTGAATTTTTGTCGCCTGACTGTTCGTGGCAGCCGAGTCGCTAACGGCTTCACGGTTGAGTCAAAGAAGGCAGAATTTTTTGCTTTTTGCACAGTTTTGCTCAAACAAACTGTTTGTCTTTTGGAGAATTTTTAAACGAGACACGTGGAACAAAATATCAGCGCGTTCGCTGGGTCACAGACGAGTCGTTCAAAGAGCGTCGAAGACTTAAAAATCTGATGAATGGTGTGATTTAAACTGCTCAGGGGTCAGACGGTTCCAACGGAGGCTTTTCATTCTGTCTAAATCAAAAAGAAAAAGCTTTTTTATTTAACGAATCCTGATCCGAGCTCGTTTCTAAAAGCGCCGCGTCGGCTCATTTAACAGCCGTCCTCATGGCTGACCACACACACACAAACACACACTCCCGCTGGTCGTAGACAATCGCTGGACCGCGATTTGGACGCGCAGCACACCTCGGCGCTCCCACTCAGCCGTGGCGGGGAGCAGATGTCAGGTGGGAGGACTTGGCTTGTGTCAAATGAGGGCCGGGGAGACCGAGGCTCGGAGAGGAGTAAAAATAGCATCATTAGATTACACGGCTTCTTCTGCTAAGTGGCGTGTGATGCTGTCAACAGTTGGTCGTAGTTGGTGCAGCGAACGAGACGTGGGAGTGGACGGCCGCCGGTCGATGCTTCATCTCAACGCCGCCTCGAGTTTTGTGGATCTGGCACAGAAATGAAACGATCGGGAACATCAGCAGCTAGATGAGCTAAAAAAGATGCTAGGTCTAAAAGAAACGCACAGATTACGGCTTTTGTCTGATCCAGGGACTGTAGGAAGAAGAGTAATCCTCAGATTTTCACATTTCAGACAGTCCTTGAACTCATCATCTGCGTCTGAAACAAAGTGACTCAAATAAAGAAAACAGAAAATTCACATCTTTTCCTTCTTCAATAAATGCGTTTAATGCAAATTCTAACAGAAACTTTTCATTATTGTGCCTTTAAAATGACGCGATCGCTTCAAACAAACCCTTAAAATGTTTCATCAGAGCCAGAAACGGTCCGACGGTCCTCGAACTCATCGTCTGCGGTCAAACCAGGAAAATGACAAACGTGTTGCTTCAATGCAAATATCCAGAAAACACCACAGAGTGACTCTAATAAAGCAAACAGAGGCTCAGAAAGTCAAACACATCCCGAGTCTGCAGTTTAATGCAAATTCCAGCAGAAGCTTTTCTTTATTATGCCTTTAAAACGAAGCGTTATCTTTAAAGAAATCCTTTTTTTGATAAGTTTGTCTTTTCAGCAGAGCCAGAAACTATCAAAGTTTTGTTCAGTTTTGTTGGAAAATGAACCAGATCTTAGCTTTAAATCACATTTAATCACTTTGTTCTACTTTTCTCATTTAAAAATTCACAAAAAATAAACTCAAACCAGATTCAGTAAAAAAACAAAAAAACAATTCTTCTCATCATTTGTTAAAAATCCAGAAACGTCTCGACTGAGCTGCAGGAAGTGTTCACACACGAGAAACATAAAAGCTTTAGAAATGTTCCCTCCTGCTGTTGGAAACACGTGTGGATAAGTTTGTTTTTTCATAGAAGCGTCCTTCAGGCTTTTCCGTCTGATTAGAACCTCGTCACTCCGGCTGCTGTTCAACCTGCTCGTACGTCACCGGAGTGGAACCAGCCTCTGATCAGCACGACCTGTTTTACAACTACTTAACCTTTTGCATGTCGAACAAGAAAAGGGAATCTGATCCGATCGCAGCTTCCTCATCTCTGAAAACCGCAACACGAGCGCTCTGACATGACGGCGGTTTGTTAATGATTATCCAGACCGACGCTGAGCCCAACAAACAGAACCATAAAACCAACAGCTTCTCCGTTACTGGATGACGTGTTCGTTATTTAATGTCCTGCTTTCCTTATTCCCTCCAACAAACTCTGACTCGAACCCCTCCGAGCCGACGACTGTTGGCCTCCGACGGACAGCGAGGCGTTAATGTTTACCGTCGCTGATCCTCTGAGCAGTTTCTGGGTGTTTTGGGAGTTTAAAGTCCAGCAGGAGGGAAGTCAGAGGTGGAATGACGGAAACCAACAGAGGGAAGTTTGGTTTCTGTCTTTATTTATGATACGAAAACTACAAAACAGCTGGAAGAAGGCATCTGTAGGAAGATGTTTCTCCAACAGCTGGCTCCTCTGCTCACTGCTGCTGAGCCGTGCTGCACTTGTTTATTGATTTATTGATTTTCCTGATCGTGATCCTCGGAGTTTCCTCTCTCCTCGGTTGAAACACTGTCTGCAGCTCAGCCGATTAATCGCAGTCGATCTCAGCCGAGGAGAATCTGACAAACAGAAATAGTTTATTTTTTGCATTAAAAAAAAAAGAAAAAAGAATAGAAATGCTTTATTTATCCCAGACCTGGGAAATTATTTCGATACAGCAGCAAAAAAGAAAGAGAG